TTKAGTGCTAAAAAGGGGTTTTCTTAGAAATTCCAAAGTCGTAATGGCAACATTGCAGAAGGTCGTGTAGTATATTATTGTCTTCGCAAGATATCATGGGTAAGTTAGCATAGCTATTATTCTTTAAGAATTAATTTGGATATTTTGAAACTATCCAAATTAATCTTTAATTCAGTAGACAGTCTTAAAAAATCAAAAATTTGTAACAAACTTGACTCAGAAATGCGCAATTACAACTGACTAGCTAGGTAATTAATAACTAAGAGGAAAACACGCTTGCTCAAGTTTGGATAGAATTGAATTAAAAGAAACTGAGGACTGCCAAATTTGGCTACCCTCAGATTCTTTTTCATCCAATTATTTCCAAATTAGACAGCAAGTAGTCCTATTACATATACTGACAAAGCAGAGCGGACACTTGGACAAGGAAATGCCAGGAAGAAATTAAAGTTGTGCAGAAGGGAAATGAATTTTGATCCGTTAACCAGACCCAGAGTAACACACATAGCTGTCATTCCTGAAAGGCTTCGCAGAACATTGAGTAACTGTCAGCGGCGACCGATTAGGTGTTAACAGGAAAATTATCATAAAGTAACATTCCTGAATCGACGTTTCGCTTCTTTTGCTCGGATCCACTTTAATTGGTACAAAAAAATGACAGCTGGTAAGCTTCTCTCTAAAAAATTTGGGCTCCTTAGCCATATGTTTAGAATTACTATTCCCAGAATCTCCTACCTTAATTTTATTTTTCAAAATTGTCTGTAAACAAAACTTAAATAATAGTTGTCATTTTCCTCTTCTTTTTCTAGGAAATATTAGGCTATCAAAGCTACCTATCGCTACCCCTGGAGGGAACAACGGATACCAGTGGCCAAGATTTGGGCGCTCATCGAACAAAAAGAATCTGAGGCTTCAAAACTGATGACAATCGACGGAACACTGGGATTAACTTTGACACATGAAAACGACGCCCTTCATCGCCAATTCCAAAGGACTGTGCAGCTTCCTGAGGACAAATATCTTACTTTTGTCCTATTCTTCTAGAGTTGTATGTTTGATTCAACGAGCAAATGTACCCGAAGAAATCTTGAATAAAGTTTAAATAAATGTGAAACCTTCTCCATCTAACTGAGACTTTCTAAGATAGAGAGGCTGGATCCAAATCCCAGCTGAACTATTTGTGTTTCAGTGGGTCCTCCTCCCCCACCCTTCCCCCCCTCATTTCTCCTTAGCCAACTTGGAATAACACATTTTACAGCTCACAGACAACTAATGCCATAGTAGAACTCATCAGGGTCCTAGTTCTGGCTAGAATTTGGCTGCTATTCTCGGTTTTTCGTAAAACCAGATTAATCCAGAGGGAAGTAATCTTTTTCCGTCCTCTTTCTCTAGAGGGTCGTGAAGGGGTAAAATGGCAAGTGGGATTAGCCTTATTTTGGACTGGGAAAATGGGAGTTACTCACTGGGACTGGGATTTAGCCACTGGGAATGGGATGAACAATTATAAAATGGGAATGGGATTTCTTTTCTCCAGCGATCTTTGCTCCAATATTTTGAAATAGAAAAATAAAATTTCATAGCAAAAGACCTTGCACTCCTCAGTAGAGACCGTGAAATCAGTATTTTTCGCCTTTGCGCCCGCGGTCTAGCTACCAGGCTTACACGGTTGCATAGTTACGTTCTGTCAGTTTTCCTAGTCAGCGGAGAAGTTCTGCAAGTTTGCATATGGCGGGAAGATATTGTGAAGGGAAGATAAAAATTGTTTCGGAAAAGGTTTCTCGCAAAATGGTACTAAAAATCAAGTACGTCGATGCAAATAACGCCGTAATAACACTGAAAACTCTAAACTTTTGTTGGAATTAAACTGTAGTCCAAAGGAATTAGAAAAAACAGTTGTAAACAGTTGTGAAATTGAACATTCCGCTGCAAAGCGGGGTTTTTCGGACCATTCAATCGAGTTGTACTATGTGGACCATGTCGAACCAGGTAACCAGAAGAAAGCAGCATTTATACTGCGAACGGATGAGACATATGGAATGCTTAGAGCGAGTGAGTCACATTCGTTATTCGTTAAAGCGATCCAGCTAGTAGCATCGTTTCAAAAAGGTACAGTAAACATTGTGTTCGAGAGTTCATCTTCAACCTCAACAGATGCAAATTGTTGTGACTCTTCGACCTGCACGAAAAACACAGCCTTGTTGGTTAATCCGTTGAAGAAGGAGTAAAAAGAGTGACACCATGGTCTGCACATTACTACACACATCCCAGCTCATACTACCTTGCTGAACCTTCTGCTGCTGGCCAGTTGGTAAGTGTTGAAATTCCCAAACCAGTTGGAGAAAGATTGTCCAGAAACGAAGAAGCAGAAATGAGATTGTGGGAAAAACGATTCGGCAAGTGTGTAAGGCAGCGCAATGTACGACAAGACAATACCATGGACAGAGCTGGTACACTGCCTTNAAATGAAATATAAATGAAACATGAGGTTCTCAGTTGTATGAAATATTTGTTTCTACGTGCATGTAACTTTCTGGGCAAGTTGTTTAAAGAGCGGATAACAGTATACAACGAATAAATCGCTATTCAGCGGGTAAATGCTACCGAAACGTACCGCGATATCCACTGGATAAAGATTTTATTCAATGGATAGCGTTATCCAGCCTTCCAACAACCGAGGCAAGGACTATATCTTAGAGAGAGGGTCGTGAAGGGGGGTACCGAATCCCAGTTCCCAGCCTAAATTTGGCCCAAATCCCAGTTCCCAGGCTAAGTTTTGCCAAAATCCCAGTTACCAAATCTAAAATCCCATTACTAATGATTATTTACAAAATCATGCGCATAATTAAATTAAAAGCACTGATTGACGCTATTTGGATACACGTACCTTCACCTGGACTGAAGAAAATCTCTCATTCTGCTGGTGAACACTCTTTCTCTTCCAGCCCTTGTTGACATAACCATATGAAAACCAATTCTATCATCTGCACAATCCTCGTCTGACTCACTCTCTCCGCTTTCACTGCTGCTGTAGTCATCACGTTGATTGGTGCAGGTGATAACCTCCACAGGATGTTCATCAGTCTGACTTTCTTGACTTTCATCCGGTACTGAGCTTTGTGCATGAGGAAATACAAACTTACGTATATGTGCACGATCCTTCGCAGTAAAGCACTATTTAAGCAATAGTGAAAATCAGACCCAGTTGGCTTGTTAGCTCAATTGGTAGAGCGCTGCACTAGTATCGCAGAGGTCAGTGGTTCGAATCCCGTACAGGCCTGAATTTTTTTCAGGTCTGATTTTCACTATTGCTTAAATAGTGCTTTACTGCGAAGGATCGTGCACATATACGTAAGTTTGTATTTCCTCATGCACAAAGCTCAGTACCGGATGAAAGTCAAGAAAGTCAGACTGATGAACATCCTGTGGAGGTTATCACCTGCACCAATCAACGTGATGACTACAGCAGCAGTGAAAGCGGAGAGAGTGAGTCAGACGAGGATTGTGCAGATGATAGAATTGGTTTTCATATGGTTATGTCAACAAGGGCTGGAAGAGAAAGGGTGTTCACCAGCAGAATGAGAGATTTTCTTCAGTCCAGGTGAAGGTACGTGTATCCAAATAGCGTCAATCAGTGCTTTTAATTTAATTATGCGCATGATTTTGTAAATAATCATTAGTAATGGGATTTTAGATTTGGTAACTGGGATTTTGGCAAAACTTAGCCTGGGAACTGGGATTTGGGCCAAATTTAGGCTGGGAACTGGGATTCGGTACCCCCCTTCACGACCCTCTCTCTAAGATATAGTCCTTGCCTCGGTTGTTGGAAGGCTGGATAACGCTATCCATTGAATAAAATCTTTATCCAGTGGATATCGCGGTACGTTTCGGTAGCATTTACCCGCTGAATAGCGATTTATTCGTTGTATACTGTTATCCGCTCTTTAAACAACTTGCCCAGAAAGTTACATGCACGTAGAAACAAATATTTCATACAACTGAGAACCTCATGTTTCATTTATATTTCATTTATATTTCATTTTATCTCCAAATATCTTATTTTATTTGGAACGACAGTTTAACTCAAGAATTAATTTAGCCCCTAGCTCATGCACACTCATGCCTGGCCGTTGGTGTCCTGGGTACGAGGTAAGATGAAAGTCAAGGTGGTTTTTCGTTATCAAATTTTTTCACTGGCAAGGTCGACCGGATCGGTTTGATCGATGTAATCGTTTTCAGGGCCGCACACACTCCTTGCCCTTGCACACAACTCTCTCCTCTCAGTGATAACCTGAAACGGGACGAAACAAGACAAAGGTGTTATACATTTCAACTAGAAAGATGCCAGTCTTTCATTTTGTCGCCTAAGGGGCGGAGGGGCGGAGGATTTTGGGGGTATCACATGGTTTTCAAGGGGAAAAGAAGGGGTGTAAGTCGTCGCCAACAGATAATAAAGGGGAACCATGAAAAATTGACGGCCAATTAACTGGCAATCACAGGGATAATATGAATCTAACAGAGCCCTATGAGGGACCAGATAAACTTTATTGTAACACAATATTTGTGGTATTGCCCATTTTTTCCAACTCAGTGGAGCATCAGATTCAGAACAAAATCAAAATAATCATATAATTTGATGAATATTCCTATTTTCAAGGGTTTTGAGAAAGCTCTCTTATGAAATAGGACAAAAGCACAAAATTTCCAGGTTGGCCATTTTATTTCGAGACCGAGCCAACAGATTTTGTTATCTTAGACCTGGAAAAAAACCACCAGGGGAGTATGCGAGGAATCCTTATTTTATCAATGAATGTAATTCAGTTTGGAGGTGTGTAACAATGCTTCAGATGCAAAGCTGGAGTGAAACAGTTGGGAAATGAGGACTCCTCTGAGTTGAAGTTATGTTGCAATAGGTGCATGGGAGGTATACTTCTCTTTTTTTGGGTGGGAGGGAGGTATATAGTCCGAAACAATTTTCGAAATAGAAATTTCAAGTAAATAATGTTGTTGAGGCCATTCCTCAACAGTTGTCCCCAGTTGTTCCGGTAAAAAAAACCGGTTACAAAAACCGGAACAAATAGCGTGCTTTTTCTTCGCAGGTGGGATTTCTCGTTGCTTTCTCACGGCGGTGTGTGTATGTATATTAAGGAAACTATCCCTTTTTCTGTTCTCGATTTTTCCGAGGTCGACGAAAATCCGGTCTTAGAAGTCCTGTGGGCAAAGCTGCGACCAACTCGACTCCCTAGAGGTTTTTCTAGTATCATATCTTGAGTTATATACCATCCACCGTCAGCCTCTGACTCGCAAATGCAAGATTATTTGTTCAAATGCCTTACATCAATTGAGTCCCAACATCCAAACAGTGGAATTCTTCTTGTCGGCGATTTAAACCACCTATAAACGAGGCGATTCTCAAATCCAATTTCAATCCGTTGAAACAAATTGTTCACTTTCCAACCAGAGGGAAAAGTTTTTTGGACCGTATTCTAACCAACATGAATGAGTTCTATGATAAAGCCATCGAGTGACCTAAAATTGGCCTTTCGGATCACAGTTCAGTGGAGATCTAGCCCAAGCTTCGAGCAAAATCACCGCAATCAAAGAAAACAATCATCTCGAGGGATTTGAGACCTTGTAAAAGACACGCAATGCAAATGTACCTCGAAAATGTTGACGTACCACGCCTCCTTCACACCGTGGGGACCTGCGCGGAGAAAGTGTCACTTTTTGAAAATAGTATTAAGACGGGCCTAGACTTTATTATTCCCCTGCGATCCAAAACTATTCATCGAAGCGAGCCACCGTGGTTGAACGATAAACTCAAGAACTTGATCTAACGACGCCAGCGTGCCCTTGCAAAAGGAAATATGGACACCTTTCGAACGCTTAGAAATTGCGTGAATCGCGAGCGTAAGATGTGCCGGGCAAAGTACTACGAAGCAAAGGTTAGCTATTTGAGGGAGTGCAAGCCATCTGTGTGGTGGAAAGAGGTCAAAAAGCTCAGCGGCATGTCACCTGCCTCAGAAACGCGTGATGACACCAGCAAATCACTGCAACACCTAGGTTTTTCACCTGGTGATCTGGTGAATTACATCAGTTCAGCGTTCCTGACTCCAATGCAGAGTTTTGAGCCTCTTACCCATAGTCCTTTTGATCCACCACTAATCAACAACGAAAGTCATGCTGTAAATACGATATCGGAGTTTTCAACCTTTATGAAACTGTCCGCACTCAACCCCTCCAAAGCACAAGGGCCACACGGCATCCCGGTATGGTTATTAAATGAAAACGCTGATCTCTTGGCGGGACCAGTCTCTGTGATCCTTAACTCCTCGTTCTACGAATCCCGCCTTCCACCTTCTTGGAAAGAAGCTGATGTAGTCCCGGTCCCAAAACAAAGGTCCATTAATGATATTAACAAGCACCTCCGTCCCATTTCTCTCACGCCTATCTTGTCCAAACTCGCTGAAGACCACATTGTTGAGAAATATGTTAAACCAGCCGTGTTACAAAGTATCGACCCTCGTCAATTGGGATCTATTCCCAAATCGTCTACTACACATGCTCTGGTCAACATGACGCATATTTGGCTTGTTAAAACCGACGGAAATGGTTCCACGGCAAGAGTAGTCCTACTTGACTTCCGTAAGGCTTTTGACCTTATCAACCATAGTGTTCTCGTTCAAAAACTAGCAACATATGATATTCCGAGTCAAGCCAAAAAGCTGGATTGTCGAATTTTTGATGAACCGGAAACAAAGAGTTAAACTTGCTCAAGATTGTCACTCTGAATGGCGCTCTGTGCCATCCGGCGTCCCCCAGGGAGCAAAATTAGGTCCCTGGTTATTTCTCGTCATGATTAATGATTTGGACACCCCAGCTGACTTGTGGAAATACGTGGACGACACATCTTGTTCCGAAATAGTTACTAAGGGCAGTGTGAGCAAACTCCAAGAAGCTGCGGATGACCTTTCACGACAAGCGAACATCGATGGGTTCCAACTGAATGAGGCCTAGTGCAAAGAACTACGAATTAGATTCTCTAACAGCAACCACGATTTTGAACCCCTAGTCCTAAATGGCGAACCCCTTAAATTAGTCACCAGTGCCAAATTGCTAGCCGTGACCATTAGCCACGATTCAAAGTGGAACATGCACACCTCTGAACTAAGTAGAAAATGTTCCTCTCGTCTTTACTTAATTTTGAGACAACTCAAGAGATCCCGAGTTGCACCAAGCGAACTTGTGCAATTCTGTGTGACATGTATTAGGCCTGTCTTGGAATACGTAAGTCCTGTATTCCACCGTTCTCTACCAAACTACATCAGCGAAGATTTGGAACGGATCCAAAAAGGGCACTCAGAATCATCCATCCTAACCTGTCATATAGTGTAGCACTAGAAACAGCTGGCCTACCGAAACTTCACGAGAGGAGAGAAAAGATTTCAACCAATCTGTTTGACGAGATAGTCCGTAACCCCACCCATAGACTCCACAGCCTCCTCCCCCAAAGGAAGAGTTGCAGATACGCACTGAGGCGCAAAAGTTATTTCACTCGTCCCATATGCAAAACCGAGCGCTGGAAAAACAGTTTTATTTTTAACCATATTTATAAGATGTAGATAATTTTCCTTCTTTCTTAATGACGAAGTTGTAATATTTCATATTTTTATCATCTGTATTTGAAAATATTCCGTAATTCAGCCTATGGCTGCAAGGTGTTTATAATAAAGTATCTATTTTTAATACTGCCTCGTCCCAATTATTCGGTCAAATTGTTTTTCCTTTTTGTTATTTAGCTCTATCGTGATCAGGATTTTGTTCCGTAGGGTAACTCTAACTTTTTCATCGTGAACAGGTTATTACGGCTTGCCAGCTTGTAATCTATGGTTGAGGCTTGTTATGTTGAAGTACAAGTAAACTCATCGAGTTCGTTTAAAGACTGGTTTCTGTCGCTGTTACGAGCGCTTTACATGTCCGACCCGTCCGACCCGGACAAATCTTGTTTACTGTTAAAAGGTTTTTATAGCAAAGAATGCAAAATGGTCAAAATTGGTCCGTAAGGTCATCACTTGACGCTTTATTTTCTCACGGCTTCGAAAAGACTTCTCCGCAAACATTTACTAAAATCATGACGTGCAAGAAACATTTGCAATTTAGTGTGGAACAGGAATCGTTTTCTTTTCTCTTTGATTGAGATGATAAACTCTGCCACCCCCCTCCGCCCCCCCTCACACACACACACACACACACACACACACACACACACACACACAGTCCTTCCCGTCAGCCCATCGTTTTGAAACGTAAGCCAATCGCTCAGTAGTCACTGGCTATTTCCCACGCGTCTAGTATTTTGCTAGTTTCTGTTTTTTAATTTCACTTTTCATTGGTTCCTGTTAATTTTACTACTGTTTCTGAATAGCATTTGTACTTTATCTGGTTTCAGTTCAACGCAACACAATCAAAATATGCTTTAATGAATATCAATAATTAAGCCTTTTGTCTGGCGACGATAGCGTCACCATTTAATGGTAATCATGATTAACAGGAAAACATTGCTCTAACCTTGTACGTGGCCTTAGCTATATTAATTTCTTAAAAGAGCGAATTCAAAGCAGCCGATGAGGTCTTCTATCACTTCAGTTATAGTTTATAACTTAGAGTCATTAGATAAAGTCATCTACCGTTCTTAGATCGCACTTATCTAACTCAGATACCACACGCACTCTTCTCAAATCTGTTGTGGAAAATGCTTTGGATTGAATTTGGGTGCGTGTGTATATCCTTAATCCTACCACTAGAATTGTGCCCTTAGTTTGGCGATATTCATGTGGTCATTGATCATGATTTCTGATTAGAATTAGCAGGAAAATATTGCTGAAGCCTTTCGCCTACTTCTGCCATTCTCTCAAAGTTAAAGCAGATAAGTCATTCAAACACTCTAGCCTTTTGCCGTTCTTACACTACGTGTTTGTTTATTCCATCGCTGTGTGATAATCGTACTCTATAATTGTCAGCTGTTGCTGTTGGCAATGGTTTAAGGATTTGGTTTTGTTGCTGTTTTGTTTCGTTTTGTTTGCTTATCGTTAATCCCGATAACATAACGCACAATTTAACTTTAAAAGAATGGTTCAACTGAATTACCTTAGAATTCCTTTTCCCAAATCGTCTCTGAAGATTAGACGGAGGCGGATTAGAAGCGGCCATTGCAATAACAAGGACCATCACAAACACAAAGCAAAATTTTCTTTTGTCCATTGCAGCGTTTTCAGTTCTGTTTGAAATGATTCAAAGACCAACTTCTTTGTTCTGCAAAAAGCGTTTTGTGAAGAACTTAGTTATGAAACATGAGAGTCAAATTGAATGAAGAAATTCTTCAACTTACAGATGACTTCTTTGACGAGAAAGCAAACGATTTTGTATTGAAGGTTGAGACTGATCACTGCATTTATACATGTTATTGAAAGGCCCCGAAATTAATGATACAACTATCAGTCTACTTTAAAGGCCCAGATGGCGCCCTAAAATAATTCATGCGATAATTTTGATCATGTTTATCATGGATTTAAAAAAAAAATAATAATTGACATAAAAAAAATTACTACAAAGCCAAACATACTATTAATACTGATTTCAATAGTTCTTTAGTTAAACGCTAGCGCGTGTCATTAAAAAGATGTCGGATTACGTTAATCTGAACTTAAGCTTTTGACCATTTCTTTAAACGTTAGTGGATATATTAGTAGTTTTTAACTTTGATCATGAAATTCAGAGATACTTGTATTCAAACAAAATTTAAACTATCTCGCCGTTGAACATGACGTTTTTTTAAACATCTCTAATTTAGCCGAACGTTTTATCTAGACGCTGAAATTAGTGAACATCACGGTCAAGGAAGCTGATGATTGATTCTGGAAAACTTAACTCGTTCTTCTCCAAGCAATTAAAAAAATTTCAAGGCCCCTTTTTGTCTAAAGTCTGGGCCAAAATTGCTTCTAAAGCATTTACACTGGGTTTAATACAAAACGGGAGATTTTCAAATATCATGATTTAATATAGAGAAGAATCTTCACAATCATTGTGAGTCATTTTTTTCTTCTTGGCAATGATAGAAAAAGGACTCAATAACATTGATGCGTTTTGACACTTGCTGAGGCTAAACAAACCTGAACTTTGAGAACAAAATAACATCATCGGTTTCGTATCGTTTTCAGCTGTCCTCACAAGAATGTATTTATTTTCCAATGAAGGATATCTTTGTTTCTGCCATTTTTTAAAAAGAAAGGGGAATGAGAAAGGAACCTTTCATTGTCCTCCCTCTCCTCGCAAAACGACGGAATTTTTTCTTTTTTTTTTTTTTTCGTATAGGACGAAAAGGAAAAATGTAGACTTCTTCATTGAAGAAATTGGAACGCGGGACTTTTTCTTTATCTAGTACAATTTTCGATCTATTATTAGTTTTTGCAGAATTACTTTTTCGTTGTTGTTGATTACTCAAAATAAGAATCATATCTTTGCCTGGTTCCTTTGTTCACTCTGAGAACCGGCAAAGGAGTTGAAAAACTAAAAAAAAAAAAAAAAACAAGTGTTCGCCCTTTCCATCTACACTACTGCACACTCGCTAACAAACCCACAAAAGTTTATTCTTTTCAGTCCATCGTCTATACCCGAAAAGGCTTATAAAAACCGTAACGAAAACGGTGTTCAAAGAAGCCGTGTTTGAAAACGTGTCGTTTCTAGAACGCTGGGTTTCTAAGGTGGACAGGTGAACACGTTTGAGAATAAAAAGAAGCAAAATCAAAAAGAGACTATTCGGCGCTACCAGGGATCTTAATGATTTCATTTACATTAAATTTGAATAATTTATTGATTAGAGACGATATATTTATATTGAAATGAGCGGCGTTAAATCTCATTAAAATAAATCTAAGCATGGAAACAGACGTAAAAGTGCCGTGATAGCATTGTGCTGCTCAAGGTGGACAGGTGAACTCGTTTGAGAATAAAAAGAAGCAAAATCAAAAAGAGACTATTCGGCGATACCAGGGATCTTAATGATTTCACTTACATTAAATTTGAATAATTTATTGATTAGTGACGATATATTTATTTTGAAATGAGCAGCGTTAAATTTCATTAAAATAAATCTAAGCATGGAAACAGACGTAAAAGTGCCGTGATAGCATCTTGCTGTTCTCAGTGGTGGCATCGCTATCAGTAAGGAATGAGCTGAGATACATGTTTCTCGTTTTCTTAGTTGTTGAAATTTCGATTTGGTTTAACTCAGAAGAAAAAGTAGCAGAAACGCATTGGTGCAAATGAGGCTATTTTTGGCCAAGAAGAAACTGATTGTTGTTTATTTGTTACAGAGTTCTTTTAATAAAATGCAAAGGATTACAAAGAATCTCATGTTCTCTTATTTTCTCTTGATTTATTTTTTTTCTTGTGTGATACAGGAGTAGATTGAATAAAAACTTTCAGGCCGGCTGTGTAATCGGAGATTACTTATTTTACATCAGATAGATTGCCTCTTCAAGCCCTCTGGACACTGTTCACAAATTTCAACGTTTTAGTAAAATGTTTGGTTTAGATTGAAGTTAACATAGGATGGCGTTTTGTAAAACAAAAGCTAAACTCTATTTAAATGATCAGACAGACAGAACTTCACAATCCGAGCAAAATACATCCAGGTTGGTCAAGTTTTGGGAAGTGGTTAGGCAAAAGATTGGTTTGAGGAAGCTGAAAGTAACCTAAGCAACCATGGATCTTGATTAATGCTGTGCGTGTGCTAGCGTTTGACTTGAAAACAATTTAAAACAGTATTAGTGGATTGCTTGAAGTTGTTGACCTGATCACAGTTAACGGATGGATAACTTAGTGGGCGCCAACTTGACGTCTTAAAAGGGTACTGATTTGTTATAATCAATCCGTTGGCTTTATTAAACAGGTATAAAAACAGCGAAGTTTCATCAGTTTTAGTAAAGGCTTTTTCAGTGCTAAGCCAATAAGTTCTTCGTCAGAGAAGTCAAACTGTAAGTCGCAACAAATTTGTTCTACTTTTGAGTTGCTTGCAATTGTATATCAGCGCTCACGATCGGCTCTTCACAAAAACGTTTTTTGCATGCAGAGCCAAGAACAAGGGGTAAGAGTCCTTTCCAGCAGAGTACAAACAGTCAATATGGCGGACAAAAAACTGATTTGTGTTTTGTTTCTGATGGTGCTTGCTGTTGCAATGATGGACGCCGGAAATCCTCCGTTTAATGGGAGTCAAAGACGGGTTGGAAAAAGAAACTCTAAGGTAATTCATTTGTTTGAGCTTTGTTCCCAACACCCTACACCGCCCCCCTCCCCCCCGGTTAGCTCAATTGCTGCGAGTGCCGGATTCTGACTTTTGCATCGAATCGATCGCATAGGGACTACGCGAATGTCGAAAAAAACACGAACTAAACCATTGAGGTGCTTTCTTTTTTTGAACGTGAACAAAAAGTATCTGCTGCACTTAATAGTTTGTTTCTTTAAAAGTCAAGCCTAAAAACTGAACACAAAGTTCAAAGTTTGGATCGTTCAGTGCGGCCATTTTGTTTCTCCTTATTTTTGCTCTGTTTTCCATGACATTTTTTTCGCGTTCTCATGACCTTATTTGCTAATATGACGTAGTAGTGGAATAATACTGAATTAATATGTATTTCGTATCCGTCCTAAGGATTGAAGATAAGAAAATGAAGCTTAACACTCGGTCAAGACTGAATGGTATTCAGTCATATTTATTCATTCATCTTCATTTAGCTTATGGAAGTTTTTTGTATCGAACTGAGGGGGAGTGGGGAGGCTGATGTTGATCTACCTCAAGGTCAAGAAAACTCGCGCAGCTTTTCCAACCAATCAGATTCCAAATCATGATTTGGTCACCTGCATTTTCCCGCGATTCAGCCAGAGTGCTTGTTTCCACTTTGGGTTTTAATTGGTTCCTTGTAATATCTTCCTTTTTCCTAATTGGTTGGTGTGATTTCTTTGGGTTCGGATTTACGTCACTCGTTCGAAATGCACAGTATCATACTTGTCTTGTTTCTTACCGTTTCAGAGGATCGTCGAGAAGAGAGAGTTATGCGCACGCGCCAGGGTTGTCTGTGACGTGCCAAACGATGTTAGTAATCGAGAGATACCGGCCGACTTTGGCACTGAAGAAATCTGAAAGAAAGTGGGAAAAGAAACGGGACACAACACAACTCAGACATAAATATTTATAATAGAGCATATTTTGAAATTCTTAGACTTTTGTCTTTGATCAATGCATTCTATGAGTAATTCCTGGGTCTTTAACGGCCAGGTATGACTGTGATCTTACAAAAAAAATGCATTTTTGACTCAAAGTATTGTTCAAAATAAAAAATTAATTCTTAAAAATGAAAGAAACTCTGCAGAGAATGTATTTAATGTACGCCTAATGTATTTCTTCAGAATTGAACGAAATTTTGCTTTAAAGTTCGCGTGGCATACCTCTGTGATTGCATTCCCCTTGTATAGGATCAGCCATTACGGAGACTAGAGTACAAAAGACGTTACAAATGCTAGACCCCAGTTGAAATATGAACAAGATGGTTTCGCCATTGCAACAACTGTCCGTGAACGTTCGATGTGGCATCTCGGTTAGGCCACTGAGGGCTTCATGAAAAAGACAGTCGTAAGAAGAAAAAAGTTTCCCGACTGCAGTTCGAACATTTTTATCCTCGAAAGTTTCATTTAATAAGAGTAAATTTTAATTTTTTCTTTATTTGATTTATTTTAGCAACACTAACCTATTGCAGCGCGAGATTTTGTTCCCAGTGGACTGTATTTTCGTTTGGAATTGATATAAAAGCTGGCATTGTTTGCACGCGACAAAGTTTGGTCTGAGTGTTCTTTTCACTCAAGTATCCAAATCTTAGTCATTGCTATTCGTTGTTTCCTCCGAGATTAACGGGAGGAAGTTTTTACAGCCCAGCGTTTCCTTTAAAAAACTGAAGAAAAATACTGTAGTTTTTAAGGCTTCTTTGGTGGGCCCGCGGCTCACGAATAACCATTTGACTGGTTATCGCAAAAAAGAAAATCTTCTACTCAAGAAACCGTTTCTGAGTAGTTAATTGTTTAAAGAAATAACCGAGAGAGAATGGAGGGCGAAAACTGACATTTAGAAAAGCGACTAGGTTGTTAAGAATCTTTTGACATAGATTGTGTGTGAGGAACACGACACTAAGGGCCTGATTACATGAGCCGGGCTGGCCCGGTTAGCCGGGCTGATTTCTTTTGTTTTGGTGTTCACCAAAGCGTGAAAACAAAAGAAATCAGCCCGGCTAACCGAGCCAGCTCGGCTCATGTAATCAGGCCCTAAGTTGCGTATGAAATTCAACTTGTATAAGGCAGTAGTTATCCAAATCCTTCTGTATGTGGGTAAGATCCTAATCTACCAACAGTCGCTTCGTCAAACAGTAACAGTAGAGAGCCATGAACTAAATTGCCTCGTTTCCTTTTTCTATTTTTTAGTTTCTTCCTTTATCAAATTTTTTTTTTCCACCTATTTTTTATTTCTCATTTTTTTCACTCCCGTTAACCGCCATTTGACTGCAAAAAGAAATTTTTGAATGAATTTATTTCATCGAAGATACATACATTTGCCCAGAAACGCTTTTCTTAATTAATTGCTTTAATGTGTTATTTCCTTGTCAGATCTAATTGATGCGCGTTAGCGCACTTTGTTTACACCAAGGAATTCCATTTGCCGTAAGATTAAGAACAATAAAGCTTAGAAAATCAAATTAGATACTGAGAAATAGAGACTAAATGTTGTATTGTATTTACCACGGGGGCCATCTTCCCGATAGTTTACTCAAAATACTAACAATCGCGTTTTGGTAATGAAACAAAAACTGTTCCATTAAGGTTGGAACAATTTGATTGATGTTGCCACGTAACAAGCATATGTATGTGATCACCTGCCAAGAATCGATGCAGTTGTATAAATTGGCTAAGTAAGATAAATTACCGGCAACGGGAGCTCAGGTTCGAGTAGAAATTGAATACTGAGACGCTCCAAACAGTTACTTTTAAGAATGGATCTGGCAGAACAACAGTTGCAAGAAATGTTGAATGAATTCAATTCAAGAAGCCAAATCACTGCTGTGCTGGAGTCTGGGCTTTATGCGTTTATTTTATTGTTGTTGTTCGTTGGAAACTTTGCAACTCTCTTTGTTATTGCATTAAACCACAGAATGAGGACGATCCCAAACATGTTCGTTGCGTCTCTTGCCATTTCCGACTTCCTCTTAGGGGCGCTTTCAGCGTGTCCTATAGCCCTTACCACATTGGTGAAATCTCGGTGGCCTTTCAACGACACAATATGTCAGTACCAAGGATACGTCGCGGTAACTTTAGCTGTTACTTCGACACAAACGCTAGCATTGACAGCAGTGAACCGATATTTTCGAATCGTTAGCCCAGCAAAATATCGTCGATACTTCACTGAGAAGAAAACGCAAATCATGATTCTTGCTTCATGGTTCTATTGCATGTGGGCGCCATTGCCGTACCTCTTAAAAGGCAACAGAATGGTGTTTCATCCTGCTAAGTTCTTCTGTTATCTTCAGATCGATAGCGGTCCTTTTACAATATTTTTAGTAACTGTGTACGTAGGATTGCCAACTTGTGTGGTATTCTTCTGCTACCTTAGAATATTCCAAACTGTGCGTAGCCATAACAGCAACTTCCAAACCATAGACGGGTCAAGCAACACGGTCAATGTGGAAGAAATCAAGATCACCCGCACGCTGTTTGTAATCGTTGTCTTTTTTAATCTCTGTTGGACCCCGATCTTGCTGATAGACATTCTGGACACGATTCGTGGGAGATGGTCTCTTCCTCGAGAAGCTTATGTGGCATACAGCTTTTTAGGCACAATTAGCAGTGCGCTGAACCCTATTATTTATGGTGTGATGAATAAGAACTTTCGGAGGGAATATCTCAAAATTATTCACTGCACCTTCTGTCGCTCGCAAGTGGTCGTAGAACCATTGCATTCAAAGACAAACCGAACAAGTACGGCGGTTTCAACCGTGTGAAGTTACGATTTGTAATTAAGCTTAAATGGTTAAAATCGGCAAGGAAACTTGAATTTTTTACCTACTTAATGGTGGGTAAAGAAGAAGACAAAAGAAACTGACAATTTGCAAAGGACGATCAGAGCATACGGTTGTAAACTCCCAAAGCTTAGAAAAGCGATGTTCTAATTCAAAGCTTGAAGAGTCACCTATAGAAGCGCTATTAATAGATATTTGAAGCACCTGTCTTTCATCCCCAATCACAGATTGCTTATGATAATAAGATTGGAATTCTGCAAAATATAATTAGCGTTATAGAACAACTTGCATTGTAAACAACCTATATGGATGAGAAAGAAGGGAGCAAACAATTCATTTAAAACATTAAGGATCAAAGAAACCGAAAAATAATTGCAACAACACAATCGTCCGTACTGAATGACTGTAATTGGTGCGATGGGTAAACTCTATTTTTTTATGCAAGTCAGATCAGAATATTCTAGAAGTTTTCAAAACCGAATTTCCTTTTGCCAACTGGTTATTGATGAATCGACGCCAAAATAGAAGCCAAACTTCTCACGATTCTTACACCGATGCCTGTATCACAAAAATCTTGGACAGTCAAGAGACATAATGCCTTATCGTGTGGCGGATTATTCCGGTAACACGTGAAAACCAGTCCGCTATGAAACAATGTTACAAGTTTGTTACGGTGGGCAAATTGTCAGCTAGCACTAGAATTTACAATGTTTAAGTTGAAATACGCATTGAGTAAATTTTAGATTTACGGCACACCTCCAAATCAACTTCAAATTTCTATGTAGTTCAATCTCATTTTTTTTTTTTAAAAAAGAGGAAAAAAAAAGAGAAAAAACAGAGAGACCCAGAAAAAAAACCCAGGCAAGTGTCAGTAGCAAAACTGATCTGGTCAAACGCAATACAGCAGAGCGGAACACAAATGTAGAATGGCGGTTCGCGAACACTTTAACCACCTGCACTGAGTTTGCTTGCTAAGCTAACAAACTCCTCGTGACTTAATGAATTGACCTCGATATGGAAATAACAAACAATAAAGCTGAGTCGGTCGCATGTGATAAAGCAGTGCGGAAAACAAAAATGAGATTTTCGGCGAACCGTCTTTAACCATTGCACCGACTTTGTTTGCTAAACCAGAGTTAACTCTGGCTAAACTAACAGTTACACTCTTTTATAACTTTATGACTGGGCCTGATATGTAGACGATTCAGAGCTTTCGGCTTCTTACTTTCACGAGGTTTGTAATAGCCTTTATTAAAAAAGCCCCTATTGGTTCCCCTGAATATGTTGTTGTCGCGGATAATGATTTAAGTCATTTATTGACAATGCTAATCAATATCAGGAGCACTTCCTATTTAGCTCTGCGAGCGCGCAAGATGGAGGGAATCTCTCGATGCAAGTTAACCGCCATTATTAGCACACTGAAAGAAAAAACTGAATATTCTAAAAGTGGTCCGATGTCTGTCAATAGATCTCGCGTGCGAAACGCAGACCATAGTTAGTAGACACAGACACTTCCGTTTCGTAGAATATGACGACTGCGAGACCTGAACAAAGTTTCTTTGTTTTCAGCTCCAAGATAAAAAGCGTAACAGTCGTAACCACATAAACCGCAAGACAAGACATAACTGTCTATTTAGCCGACACTTTCAAAATGACGCATTAGTCAGAACAAAAAACGTTTACGGTCAACTATATTTTACGCCTAACGGCTTAAATTTATGATGTGATAGTAGTGAAATGTTACTAAAAATAGCGGTATTACAGATATCTAGAATATTCGGGAACTTTTGTGAAAGGTATATAAAGAGTCGCGATCAGTTAAAGTGCGGCCTTTTTAGTGAGTTAGAGTTGCTGTTGTGAAGAGCCCAGAGGAGCGAGAGCCGGATAGAGATGTTGGAATTATTTACTGGAATTGTAAGCCGTGCGGAAGGCTACTGGAGAAAGTATTGTGGACATCGACAAGTTTTAAGAGTTTTTCAAGAGAACTGTGAGTTGTGCGGTAGTGCGCAGGGGGTGACAGCGTGACAGCATGACACTTGGACGTGTGCTTTTTAGCTCGTCTAACATTTTTATAGTTTTAGCGTTTTATCATCTCTGGAGTTCAGATGGAACTTTGATACAGCATTGCTATGATGATTCTAGCTTCTATACGGCTATTTCGACAGCCACCGGAAAAGATTCGTTAAATAATGTGTTCGATTGCCCTTGGTCTTGTGGCCGCCATCTTGTTTCCTCTCCACATGCAAAAGGCTTCTTCTCGTCAAGGCTGCAATACTATGCCAATTGTACCAGCTGCTTCCAACAGATTCGACTATTTATTTCTGGCGACATCTCATTAAATCCTGGCCCGCTTACCAGGTCTCAGTCCGCAAAGTCTAAAGATATCTCAGATCGACTCTACCCAATTCTACATGGACAACTGTCGTCTTTCAAAGGCCTTAAAATAGGCCACTTGAATGTAAATGGTCTTCTGAGCAAGATTCATGATGTCAAGGTACTATTACTCGCCTTAAAACTGGACGTTTTGGCCATCTCCGAAACTCATCTTCGATGCAAAACTAAGGATGAAGATATTTATATTCCTGGCTATAAAATCGCTAGACGTGACAGGTCGGATGGTCGGAAAGGCGGAGGATCTTTGATTTATTTTTCTGAAGTCCTAAATGCTTATGATTCAAGTGATTTGTCCTCTAATTCGTGCTTGGAAGCTACTTGGATCGATTTATCTTTTCATTCTCAGCGACTGTTGATCGGTTCAATCTACAGACCTCCTGACTGTTCGTCTTTCTTCAATGAGTTTCCCGTGGTAATGGAAAATTTATGGCGGAAACGTTCCAACATCATCCTATTAGGCGACTTCAATGTTAATTTATCGTCCTCGTGTGATGCTTCCTTGAAAAGAAAATTTACAAACCTTCTTTGTAAATTCAACTTAAAGAATGTTATTGATGTTCCCACCAGAATCACCGGCGATTCATCTTCTCTGATTGACTTGATTATTACCTCTGTTCCCTCCAAGATTTCTGGTCATGGTGCTTGCAATCCAGGAATATCTGATCACCACCTGGTTTATGCTTCTGTTAACTTGAGAAGGATTTCTATGAAACCTAAATTAAAGCTAGTCCGGGATTTTAAAAGAGTTGACATCAAAGCCCTACAGCATGAATTTGCTTCTGCCCCATGGTTTATCTGTGATATCTTTGATGATATCGACGATTGTGTTTGGGCATGGGAAGCCCTTTACAAGTTCATCATTAACGAACATATTCCTCTTAGAAAGGCTAAAGTTAGATCTAATAGTCTGCCCTGGATGTCTTCGCCTCTGAGAAAAGAGCTAAACAAGAGATACAATCTTCTTCTTAAAGCCCAAAAAACACCAAGAGGATCTCTTGAATGGTTTGCTTACAAGAAACAAAGAAATTATTGCACTAAATTGTTAAGGTCAGCTGAAATTTCTTACTGGAACAACAAACTTACCAATGCTAAATCCAGTGGAGAATTCTGGAGCTTAGTCAGATCCTTTCAAGGTGTCAACAAGTGCTCTACCATTGGCCCAGTGAAATCCCAATCTGGTTTACTTCTAACTGATAATTTTTCAAAAGCAAATGAATTCAACTCCTATTTTACCAATATATGTT